AGGTAAACAGCGGGCATTTTCCATCCTGCTTTTCCAATGAGCTACTGTCACTGATGACACACTACCTATGTTGAAGCGTTAGTACTACTGAAACAAGGTGCCAGCAGAAGCGTTATAGTGCATTTGCAGTGACATGCATATTTGTTCTTTGAATGCATGAGCATGTTGTTCCAGTACTTCTCTAAATGTGGGAATCAAACCGCAGCAAAATAAATTACAAAAAAAGATCCGTCCTGATTTTTCTGTCATTGTTGGCTTGACTGTCTTCCTGCCGGTGGTCCGCTCAGTAAGCAGGTCATTTGCCCCGTCCATCTGTGTGTTCCTGTCTTTTATTTCTTTCATGCTTTCTCCTCTTCGTGTGTGTGTGTGTGTGTGTGTGTGTGAGATTTATGGCTGAACTGAAACCTCTCACCACACTGCACCGCACAATCGTCAATGTCTCACTTCTCTGCAGCCTAAAAAACACCCTGAAACATCCCAGCAATGCGTTAACGGCAAAGCCTTCACCACTGTGTGACCCGCAGTCACCTCTGTGCCAAACACACACACAGAATCTATTACAGGGGAATGTGATGGGTTTCTGTGGGATGTTTGGTTCGGGCTGTTTTTGGAGATGCTGTCTAGGGTGAAGTTGCCAGGGGGACAAAGACAGTTTAACAAAAAATGTCTTCAAAATGGGCTTTAAAGGAGTCGTTCTGGCAGCGCTGACGTGTCTTTGAGTGACTTTTTTTATTATTAGAATGATTTCTTTTTTTCTTGAATGTCCTTCTGTTTGCCTTCCAAGTGTCTTCTTTCATCTCAACCAAATCGTGTCTTTGTCTGCAGATCGAGGACGGAGGGAAGGCTGCCCACTGCAAGAAGCTGAAAGTTGGTGATGAACTCATTAACATAAACGGATCCCCCCTCTACGGCAGCAGACAAGAAGCCCTGATTCTCATTAAGGGATCCTACAGGATACTGAAGCTCGCAGTCAGGAGGTAAACGCTGTGAGAACTACACAGATCCACGAGAGGTTCATGCTGGGGTTAGCAGACAGAGCTGTGGGTGGAGATGTCATTTGACAAAATCAGAAGCTACGCATACCTCTCACACAGACTCGGATTCGGCGCTGCTGCAGAAGCAGCTATACCAGCATTCGTGAGAGTTCCCGTAAACGTTTATTTAAATAAAAGTTTGCAACGGTGAGAGGAACTGAACAAGCTGAGATAATATTATAATGTGTAATTACCTCTAACAAAGAATCTCGGCGAACGGGCTCACGAATGAGGTTATCACTGCAACATCGTCCAACAAAGCCCCCCTACAGTTTTGGTAAAGATAATGACTTTGCTGTGATTCTTGGCTGCATTTACATTTGAAATTGTGCTAAGAGAGAAAGTCAGAAGAAACAGAAAGGTTCTTACTTTGTTCTCAGAGCAAGGGCTTCATGTGTTTGCAGCTGCTGAGCAGTGGGAAACCAACGAGTGCAGGAGATCGGTTACAGAGCAGCACTGTCAATTTTTTTACCCGGTGCTCCTTTTCTGGGGAAGAAAGCTCTAAAGGGGAATGAAAAGGCACCAGTTGGCAACAAGGAGATGACCTGAAGGGTCG